TACTTAGACGAGTTAAAATGAAATAAAATAAAATAAGTCTAAATAGAGCACAGAACAATTGCCGTTTTAAGCAGGAAATGTATTATTTTTAGTCGAGACGATGTTACAATACCATATGGAAACGTCAATCCTATGAAAATACTTGGATAAACTCTCTAAACAACCGGTCAACAACAAGTGATGGTACACGCTCAGTACGTAACCCTAACCCTGACTATTCACCACATCACCGCATCCCATCCACACGCACGCACACCGTATCATGACTTCGTTCGATCAGGAGCCTTTAAACGTCAAACTAACAAAAACCTAACTTCACATTATGAAACCCCGCCGAGGTCGTTTACCGAGTCATCATTACAAGCCGTCTAAATTCGTCACGACCAAAAACTTCTGTAAGTTGAGACGGAAGCAACGGACACGCTGCAAGGTAGGTGGTGATTCACGCGCCCAGCCGACGCTCAACCGCGACAACATCACCCGCGTATTTGTCTGAAGCGAGGAAGCCGAAGACAGGTTGTGACGAGAGGCGGGCAGTGCGCGTGTGATTGTGAAGTGTGCGCGCGCGCGCGCGTGTGCGATTGTGTTTGTGTTTGTGTACCTGTGCCGTTGAGAGAACCGACCATGAGCTCACTCTCCACACCTACACCGCCACACCTACGCCGTGCGTGGTAGCGTCCGCCAGTGTGTGTATCCTACGAACCGGAACATCCCGTGTCGTTCATCTACAAACCTAATACAGACCCACGATGTAACTAACAAAATCACTGAGGGCGTCAATAAGGTTAAGACAGCCGCATGCGCAAGTACAGGTTTTTTTGCCGTTGTAAAGAGGGAGCATTTTCACGTTGGTCGGTGTATAGAGTGTTTTATTCTGGTCGATGTATATAGGCAGCGGTTTTCGTTAGTCGGTATATACTGCTTCACGTTACTTCACGTACACAGGGAGCGTTTCACATTAGTCGTAACACCGAAGAAACGCTCGAGTTCGCATGTCGCGATACTATAAAGAGTACAAACTACTCAAGTAAAAAATTCACTACACGAGACACGCAGGAAAGCTATACAGCCACGACGCGCGTTACTTACGCTCCGTAGAAAAACGCGTGCACACTCGCGAACAAGACTAGACCAGCAGACGGCCGGCTGCAGGCGATTCGTCGACGACTACGAATAACGGAACTGATCATGAAACTATGCAATGCGGCTATCACGACTCAATGTAACAGACACGCGTTCGCCGCTCAGCTTCGATTAGGCTGGGCGAAACTACGGGCCGATTAGAACAGTTACCGATTTAGTTACCGATTAGAACGCACTCGCCAAGATAAATTTCTACTCACTTCGCGTCCTCTCCCCGTGATTTCCAACTTGGGAGGGGCGGCACTGCAGGCAGCCTGCCTCCAAGACAGCGGTGGTGGGTGGGTTTCCTCACAGAGACATCTTTACATGAATTTCTTCCATCAGTATACAAGATTTCCTCACGGTTGCAATAAAAAATATAGACGTCTACGCCAACATATACAACTACACCATAGAACTGGGTTGATTACAACAACTGCAAACGCGACCAAAGAGAAAATAACAAAGCATATTATAACAATGGCGTTACACGTGTACGTTATAACGTATGTCTAAAATCATTTCGATGCTAAACAGGAGACTACCATGCAGCTTTACGACTAAATACGTTTGGTACTCCCGGTTAGACGGCCCATGAAATGCTGAGTTAAAAAAAAGTCCGAATACCATATTTCGAAATCTGCTCGTTCTATTCATACTCGTGACCGCCGCTACCACTCGCGTACTCACATCGTGAACACGGCAACACAGAAGCAAGGGAAACCGGAAACCAGATTTCAATCCTTAACCTATGTTAGCACCACGAGCATTCCTGCGAATAGCGCGGTTAAACGTTTACGATTGCTATTGTCATCGTGTGAATTACCAGGAAAATCCGGGAACGCATCCATTCTCCCTATATATTTGAGGAGACGGTGCATTTTTTACTCATGAAGTTGCAACTCGTGAAAACGAGTAAAATTTGGGCGGGGGTCAATGCAACTTCCTTTAAAATAGAGAATGGGATATATTTTATGCTGGAACAAGGTACATTTGAAAGAAGGAAAATCTTCTCGAGTTCTTATAAAAGGAAATGGAATTTTCTCAGAATCATGTTTGAACAGCAGGGGTCTCTCTAAAAGGGCGGCCAACGTGGGTTTGTAACCATTTTCCCGGGGTGCTGCTATTTAGTAGACGAGATCTCACGGGACATTAGGGCATCTCGCAGGACAGCAGGAACGAGCTTGTACATGTGACCGCTCACCTCATCGGCCGCCATCTAAACTACACACGTAAACGAATATGCAAACAGGCATTTAGGTAGTCTTTACAAGGCAAGCAGAAACCGCTCTGCTCAAGCACACATAATAAAAAGGTCACCTGCTTATGACGACCGCGTCAAATGAAACTAACGACTAAAACACACACATACACGACCTCCTCCAAAATCTCCCGCCTCACGAAACTAGTACTTGTGTAGTGTCACTAGTAGTGCCAGTGCCCAGCTAATAGACACGAATTCGTGATGATGCCGTCAATGATAACCGTAGTTACTACGTCTCTTTATCAATGTTCTCGCACGCCCCGGGACATGCACTCAATCACAGCGAACTGACGTTGCCGCAGCCAATGATCACCGTAGCACACACGTTCTCATCAACGCGCTCACGAGTCTGCCACACACGCCTGCTGAACAGGATTCGATCGCGGCGTGGTCAGTCAGCACGCCGGCACAGTGCGTGCCAACCAGAGCCGTCCTGAAGAACGACTGAACTGTCGAGATTATATAACGCGCGTCTGTCTAACAGCGGCCAACGACAATACGGTGCGCGTAGCGAGCACGCTTCGAACGGGACGCATCCACACATACTAGATAGTCATACCAATGCAGCATCGCGACCCGGGCGCCCATCTGTCGGCGGGGTGACAGTACGGTGTGGCACGTTGGAACCACACACCCCGGCGAGTGCAGCTAGTTAAGACAGTGAGTGGTGCGAGTAACTTGAAAATCACAAAAACACGGTAGTAGAAAAGACTAGACGCTATGCACGGTCCGCACGCATCCCTCACAGCTAAAACCCAAACTATGACCTGTATAATCAAAAGAAAGGCGCGACAAACGCGACACATTTCGATTCGTTACAATCGGTTGAACGACGACAGAATGGACATCTCGCTAGTGTATTAAATGCTACCGTATCTAAAGCCCGCCCATTACAAACACTCATGTCCGGATGGTAAAACTCACCCCGACGTACAAACCGCGTCTCTTATTAAATATAAACACGAAATGCTAAAACTAACAAAACTTCGTTCTAAAAATCTACGATGGAATGTACAAGCCCAACAAACACTGCTTGCAGCCGCCTTGCCAATCCAATGAATCGATTTCCTTTAACAAA